ACACTCTTTGGTCCAACTTGCCTGTGCGGACCAAACATCCTAATCTGACCTAGTCCCATTTGCTAGCATTTGCCCCATATCCCTCTAAACCCTTCCTACTCATGTACCATTCAGATGCCTTTTAAATGTTGTAATTGTACCAGCCTCCACCATTTCCTCTGGCAGCACATTCCATATGTGTACCACCCTCTGTGTGTGGGGAGTGGGGGGGAGTTACCACTCAGATCCTTCCCTCTCACCTTAAACCTATGCCCTCTAGTTTTGGACTCCCTACACTCTCCAGCACCATTATTGAAAGTTCAGTGACATGTTCCAGTCTCCACTCTAGAAAGGCAGAAGCTCGTTGTTTTAAACAAATTTTACATCAGTTTGAATAACATTCAAGTAGTTTGAGCTCTAAGCCAGCCAGAAAAGGGGAGTCATTTGGGAGGGTCCTGTCGTCAAGTTGGACTGTGGTGTTAGCTTGCCTGGTCCAGTGATTAAAACCTGAATTTCAACAAAATCCAAGTAACTTGTGGCTATGTAAATGTGTGGCGCACAAAATGCTTACAGGGTGGATGTGGGAAGGCTTTTCCTCCTGGCTGGTGTGGCAATGTTGCCTCTAGAACCAGAGGACACGGCTTCAGGGTAAGAGATCATTAAGTCTGAGATGAGGAGGAATAGTTTTCACTCCGGATTAGTGAATCTTTGGGTTCCTTTTAAGCCTCTAGTCTTCTGAGATAATTAAATTCAGGTCATGCCTGGGTGTTTAATCCTAATGGGTCCAGGTACGTTGTCCATCCTACTTTTCCCAACTGCATAGTTTATTGTTGATTTAGTATATAGATTCCTAGGTAACGTGAACCTGGATAGTCAGTCTCCTGGGATATTAACTACTATGGGCTATTCCTATATGCCTAGTGAATTTCTGGTTTGCTGTCATTTAGTATGACAAGTGACTATTCATATTGATGTTTCCACCACTTGTGATTTGCATACAAGTACTGCATTGTGTACCTGCCTTTTTATATTTGTTTTATAACAGTGGCAAATTGGTTTGGGGACCGGTCAGTGCCTATATTTTGAGTTAGCGGGATGTACCTTGCCACATTTCCCTGGAATTTGTGGACTACCAGATATGTATTCTGTTCCAAGCTATAGAAAGGCTCGTGTCAAAAGCCCAGTGATATGCCGCACTAAGGTATATGAAACTGACTGACAGACAAGAGAGTGGACAGATGGGTGGCAAATACAATTAAAGGAGAAGTTATAACTTGCCTGATTTTTTTTTTTACAAATTAAGTGGAGTGAAGAACAATGTATTCTTACTAGGTTGAAAGTGACTTAAGTTAGCATGTTGACTCAGAAGCAATCTGATACTTGTGCAGCAATTTTAGCGGGTATCAATGTAGTTAGGGAAAGGATCTCCCTCACCTATATGAACTCTCCTACGATAATGTAGGAGGTGGGCTGGGACTGCATTATGGCCTACAGAGGATTGGGTTAGTTTAGAACGAGATAAGTAAATCGTGCCTTCGTGACAAAAGCTGGATGTTTTGATTCGGAGGTAGAAGTATGAAGAAATGTTGGGAATAATCGTTCTGAATTTTGATCCCTTTTGGGGAAAAGGGGACATGCTGTGCAGGAGGGTCTAGGCCCAAAACGTCAGCCTTCCTGCTCCTCTGCTGTTTGGCCTGCTGTGTTCATCCAGCTCTGCACCTTGTTATCTCATGCTGTGAACGTTGTTTTTCCTGCACACATCCGGACAAAAGCTCAAGAATACTAAATCTTGGAGTGTTAATTTAGAATGCCTTTTTCTCATGTAACATAATTTGTTGTTCCCTTTTGAGCTTTGGAATTCTTGCTATTCTGTCCTGATGCCTGTAAGACGAACAGGTTTGACAGCACATCTCTTTCAATGTTTTGCCTTCATTCGCTCCCGTGAAGGTAGATCCCTGTCTCGCAGCTTCACCATGATTGTCTTAATTCAGTTTTTACATTTCCCAGTAACTTTAGTTTTTGAAACACAAAGCATTAATGTACTCTTGCTTTATTTTTGTTCTCCCTGATACTTCCCTCCACATTGTGTCTTGTGCATTGTTTTATTGAGCAATGGAAAAATCCTGATTCAAACCCCCTTTTCTGTGCTGCTCTTCCTATCTGTCCAGGTATTGCAGTGAAGGGAAAAATATCATTCCCATCTGCTTGTTGAAATAACTCTACTTTTCCTGTGCTGCTGCTTATAATTCATTCTGTTGTGTTGGGAGTGGGAGTGGGGGAAGGGGAGTTGAGGAGAGCAGGTCAGAGGTGAAGCAGCTCTGAGGGATCTGTTTAGTCTGGTATGTGGTGGTTCTGCTCAGGTCTCTTAATTGAGAGCCACCACAACTGGAAGGTTGAATAATCCAAGATAATAGAACTCTAGTCTTTTTTTCTTTGATTCATGTTTGAAAAAGGTCTTTAACCTCTGGGGAGCTTTGATTGCATTTCAGTTTTTTTTTGGGGCAATCCATCATTCTCCACTCCCCTCAGCTGCAACAGGATGGAGTGGGTCTTAATCAAATCCCATGAGTAAAGATGGCCCACAGGCAGCCTTTCTGTTTGCTATGCAGCAATGCAGTTGAAGATTTGATTTTTTTTCTTTAGCTTTTCTCATTTATTAACCTCCCTGCTAAGGATGGAAATCATAAAATCAATGGGGTGTGATGGTTTTGGAGAGATGCTTATTATCGCTAGCAGATGGGTCTGTTGAAGTAAACTATCTACATGTATTTTGACCATGTGACAGAATTCTGAAGCCCTAGAGGCTGTTTGGTTTGTTTGGACACTTTGTGATTTTCCTGTCCTCATTCTTAACTTTTTTTCTTTCCAAAATTCTAAATGTAGTAGGTTTCACTTGCCCTGTTTTTACCAATGTTCTGCCATATCCCACTTGGTGCTCTTTGAAATTTAACCTCCATAGCTACTTACCATATGACCACCTGGTGTAGTTTCTGTAAGTGCTGGAGTTGGGAAGGAAGCTACTGGTAACAAAAGGCACACAGCAGATTAAAAGTGCTTTTTGAAATGTGCAAAGAGATTTAACAACCTCCTGGCATTAAGAAAGCTAGTTCCACTGAAATCCATTCATTGAGCCTGATAGAGACGGAAGTTGGTAGATTTCTGGTTACTAAAAATTTTGAAGGATACTAAGTGCAGGGAAAATACTGTTGGGATGGAAGATCAGCCACAACTTTGTTGAATGGAGGATTTGGTTCAAGGGGCTAAATGGCGTAATGCTATTCACTGTACATTACATGGGCTTGTGGCAGAGTGAGATGCTTTGCTTTGAGCAATGCTGGAGTTAAATACAGTTTTTGTATTTGAGTTGAAGGTTACTGCAGGGTAATGGGGGATTTACTTCTGTAGAGTCACTTCCAGCGCAGAAAATAGCCGTTCAGTCCTTTGTACCCATGGTAGTTATCCACTGAGCAATTCAGTCATTCCCAATCCCCTTGATCCTTGTTAGCCCTGCAGTTTTTCCTCTTAGGTGCCCTTCTAAATGAGAGAATTGTTTCCACTACCCTTGTGGGCAAACAGTCCTAATTACCACTGGCTGCATAATGATTATTCAAATTAATTTTTCTCCTTGGGCCATTAATTATCCATCTTCCAGGATTTACCTCATTCATCCTTGAATGATGCAATCTATTTTCTAATGACTTTTCAATTAACGTTTCCTTTTCTTGTGCCTCTTCCCCCCCCCATCTCCCTTGCTCCCCGCAAGGGCTATTCCTAAATGCTGCTTATGATGCACCAGCCACCGGAGGGGATCCTCAAGATTCATGTTAATGTTCCCAACTTTGATATTGAAGTTAATTTGGCCGATTTGTTTAACAGCTCATCAGTGACCTTTAAACTTCATTTGCTGCCCTTCACTGCCAGCATACTCATTGTAGCTGCTCCGTTTATCAGCTACAATTTGCCTTTTAATCATTTCTAGCATCTACAGTTCTCTGGTTTTTTTTGCCTTTTAATCATTTTTTGAACCATGTTTGTTCTGCGTTCACAGTGGATGTTGAACTGTGATTATCTATTGTGACTTAGTTTGTCCCTTTTGCAACAGTAGTTTCAGTCAAAGGTCTGACATTACTGTACCCAAGGATATTTGGGCTGTGGTTAATGCCATGGCTTTCCCATTATATTCTGCATTGCAATCGTCGGTTAGCAGTCATCTTCACTTGGAATTCCACTGTAACTGGGCAGAGACCCTTGTCTTGTCCCTTTTCAATCTCAAATTGTACTAAAATGCCAATTTAATGCCTGGTCCTCCCCTCCTAAATGAACAGCAGCTTATGATTTTGCATCTGTGTAAGAGACAAATCATCCTTCCAGTGAAAGGAAAGAGAGGAGGGACCTAAAATAATTGACACAAGAAGGAAAAATGACATTGAGAAATTTTTTTTCACAGCTGGTGGTTAGGACCTGGAAGGCACTGCCTGAGGTTCAATCAATAACTTACAAGTGGAATCAGACTGCTGTCTGAAAAGGAAGAATTTGCAGGGATACGGGAAGATTGGCTCTAAATGAATTTCTCACTGAGAGCGCTGATACAGGCATGATGGGCCTTATGGCCTCCTGCACTGTAACAGTTCTGACTCTTGCTTTGACTGCAACCACTTCTATACTGTTATAAGCAGCAAGTAAATATGGCCATCAAAATAGGCTAGTGTCATCAGTTTGCTGTCAGATAATGTATTGATAATGGTACCTTTCCTCATTTCTGTAGAGTTTGAGGTAATACCTGATTTTGAGACAACTGGGAATGTCTGATGACTACCTAATGGGAATGCTGCAATGTAAAAGTTAGCTACATGATGCAGGTTGGTGCCTGCTATCTTGTTAATGAGACCATGATCCTTTATCGAAATCAGTTTTTCACAGGTGAGGTCAGGATTGCAGCCTGCGACGTGATTTGTTTTCTATCACTAAAGCATCAGGGGGACGTGCTGCTTTTTGACTTCCTCCTTTTTCTTTCCCTACAGGGATCTCTGGCAACTAATCTGGAGTCCCGGGACGGTCCACAGCAAGTAGCTGTTTCTAGGTGAGATTCCAACGTGATGTAATTTTTTTAATGCATTAATTCATCACTGGCTAGGCCAGCAATTATTGGCAACGTCTAATTACCCAGAGGGCTGTTAGGAGTCAACCACATTGCTGAGGGGCTGGAGTCACATGTAGGCCAGACCAGGTAAGGATCCTCCCCTAAAGGACAATAGTGAACCAGATGGGTTTTCCCAACAATGACTGTTTCATGGCCATCATTAGCTTCCTAATTCCAGATCTTTACTGAATTCAAATTCAATCATCTGCCTTGGTAGGATTTGAACCAGAGTCCCCAGAGCATTACCTTGGCCTCTGGAGTAACAGTCCAGCAGAGATGCCGCTAGGCCATCGCCTCCCTGCTATTAATTCAGCCTTTAAGTACTCCAGAGAGCATAAGGTGAGTACGGACTTTGTCCTGAAGGCAGGGAAGTCTGCAGTTACAATAACTGCCTTCATAAAAGTTCATTCAACTATGCTAGGCCAGCAGTTATTTCCCATCCTGAGGTATCCTCAGGGTTGGTGGTGAGCAATTGCTGTAGTCTGTGGGTATATCCACAGTGATATTTGGGACAGAGTTAACCAGGACGTTACCTGGTAATGGGGTATTTTTAGCTATGGAGAAAGGTTGGATAGACTGGGTTTGTTTTCACTGGAACACGGGAGGTTGAGGGGCAACCTGATAAAAGTTCATAAGATTGTGAATGTGAATTGCTTGGAAAGTATGAGGCTTTTTCAAGGGTGGAGGGGTCAATTACTAGGGGAACAGGTTCAAGGTGTGAGTGGGGGAGGATGTGCAAGGCAGGTTTTTCAGAGTGGCGAGTGCCTGGAACGCGTTGCCAGAGGAAGCAGACACAATAGCAGCATCCGAGAAGAATCCCTACAATGTGGAAAAAGGCCGCTCGGCCCAGCAAGTCCACACCGACCCTCAGAGCATCCCACCATCCCCCTAATCTACTCATCCCTGAACACTATGGGCAATTTAGCACTGCACATCTTTGGAATGTGGGAGGAAACCGGAGCATCCAAAGGAAACCCATACAGACACGGGGAGAATGTGCAAACTCCACACAGTCACCCGAGCGTGGAATTGAACCTGGGTCCCTGGCGCTGTGAGGCAGCAGTGCTAACCACTGAGCCACCGTGCCATCCAGTGAACGGGAAGGGAATAGAGAGATCCAAATCCTATAAGTGAAGACCATTTTAATGTGGAAGGGCAAAATGTGGCGTTGCAGGCTTGGAGGGCTGAAGGACCTGTTCCTGTGCTGTATTGTTCTTTGTTCTAGTTCCAGGATTATGACCCAGTGAATGTCAACACTATACATCCAAGGTAGAGTGCTGTTTGGCTCACACTTGTTGCTGTGCCATTTTCTTTTGTTTTTGTCTTTTTATTCTTTCACGGGATGTAGGTATTATCAAAGCTGACGTATGTTGTCCATACCTAATTGCCCTCAAACCTGGCTATTTCATGCCAGGTGACGATAGCAGATTTCCTTCCCTAAACTGATCCAGAACGATAATTATCATGGTCCATATCACGGAGACTAGCTTTCAGTTCCAGATTTATGTTTTGAATTCGGATTTTGTCAGTGGCAATGGTGGGATTTGTACCTGTCTAGCTGACTGACGGTAACTTTTTTATATTTTGCTTGTTTGCTGAAGTTGATGAAGCTGCATGCTGTACATGTCTACATGCATCAGAAGTGGATGGTGATATGATGGTAATGCCTCTGGGTTACCAGGCCAATGGCATTACCATCCTGCTACCAGTCAATGTTCTGCAGATTCAGGTTTAAAACCCATAGTGCCGGTGGAATTTTAAATTAATAAATCATAAGAGCTAGTCTCAATCATCACAATTATGCTCAATTGTTTTTTTCAGTTTTAAATTTTTGGGTCACTAATATCCTTTTTAAGGAAGGAAATCATAGATTCCCTGCAGTGTGGGAGCAGGTCATTCAGCTCATCGAGTCCATACTGACCCCTCGAGCATCCCATCCATAACCCTGCATTTCCCATGGCTAATTCACCTAGTCTGCACATCCCTGGATTCAATGGGGTAGCTGAGCATGGCCAATCGGCCCTGACCTGCACATCTTTGGACTGTGGGAGGAAACCCGCGCAGACACGGCGAGAATGTTCATGTGGAGTTGGCACAGTTGCCCAAAGGTGGAATTGAACCCAGGTCCGTGGGCTGAGGCAGTAGTGCTAACCACTGAGCCACCCAATACAATCCACCATCCTTATCCAATCTGGCCTCCATGTGACTCGCGCAGTAATGTGGTTGACTCAAACGGCTGGGCGAGCAAGTTAGTTCTCTCAGATAAATTCCGGCCTTGTCAGCGACACCCACATCCTGTGGCACTTTCTTCAAAAATGGATAGATGTGCAGTCAGTCACAAGCATTCCCGTCTTGTCGACCTATCTCTCAGTTTAAATATGAAATAGGAGCAGACAGAGACTACTTGATCCCTCAAGCCTGCTCCATATTCAGGAAGATATGGCTGATCTGCTATCTCCACATTCTTGCACCAATTTCTGAGGAAATGTTGCGAATGTTCACGACCATCTGGGAGTGTTTTGCCTCTTCAGTCTTATTTGGGCCATGTCTTATTCCAAAATGGCAGCCCCTCTTTTTAAATCCTCCTAAAAGAGGATATAATCCTCTCTCATCCACCCTGTCAAAGGTCCCTCAGGATCTGTGTTTTAATCAAAATTAGACTTTTGAAAAATTCTCTCATTATATTAGGCTGGGCCCAGCATTTATTACCCATCTGTAATTGCGCAGAGGACAGTTCAGAGTCATCCACGTTGCTGTGGATATGGAGTCACATAGGCCAGATTCCATAAGAATGGCAACTTCCTTCCCTGAAAGATATTGGTAAATCAAATGGGTTTCCCCAACAATCACCCATGGATTCATCGTTGTCATTCGTCTCTAAATTCCAGATTTTTATTGAATTCAGATTCTACCATCTGCCATGGCAGGATTTGAACCTAGGTCTCCAGAACATTATATGGGTCTCAGGATTAACAATCCAAAGATAATACTGCTAGGCTGTGGCCTTTGGCATTGCGTGCTGCCCTCTACCGTGCCACCCATGCTGAATTCCCGTGGAAACGAGCCAAGCCTGTCCAACCTTTCTTCATGAGACAACTGACCATTGTAGGTATTAGTCAGATTATGAACATTCATTAATTAATTATTAGTAGTATTTTCCAGCATAATGTTTCTGGTTAGCAATGGGGAATGGGAACCTGGCAGTTTCGAGGCTGCTTATAACTATGGGGGTGACAGCGTTCCCAGTTGCACACCAGCGTGCAGAGTATCCAGAACCACCCCAGGGCATGTTGTCAATAAAAATTCTGTTGTAACATGATGCTTTTGTGTTTCATTCTTGGTCCTGCTCAAATGAGGAATGAATGAGGTGGGGCATAGGAGAGGTAATGATCAGAGGGGTGCTGCACGGCTGTGAGGAATGCTTTGACTTTGTGAGATACATTTGAGGTATATGTGAGAGATGCTGGATATTGTCAACTGATGGGTCTTGGAGAAATGTCCCTGTTTCCCATTCTCATTCTGACTCTGTTACCTGCAATGAGTCATTTAATATGCTACCTCTTTCCCTTTCCCTCTTTTCTCCCCTAGTAAACTCAATGTCAGATGAGTAATGATGCTAGTTGACTTGCTGCTCTGAGAGGGTTGAACACTTTTATGACAGGGTGACTAGTTTCTGCCTGGGACATGTGAACACTAAGTGAAAGTGAGCACTAAAATGTAAAATATCAGCATAAGTAATTTTTTTTTGCCTTGGAGGGAAAGAATCATGATTAGAGTGAAGTATAAACAGTATCTGAAATGAAACCTGCCTGGGTTGAATAATCTGGTCGATTTGACAGGGCAGTTCTTTTAAGATACTTTCAGGACAGGCCAGTAACCACTCAGCTCTCCTATCCAGGTAATTGCACACTCTCTAAACACAGTGCGAGTGATTTTTGGGCCCTGTATCTAAGGGTGGATGTGCTGGTGTCTGGAGGAGGGTCCAGAGGATGATTGCAAGAAGATCCTAGGGATGAAGGCCTTGTCTTGTGCACATGTACTCTTAAGGAGTTTAGAAGGATGATTGGGGTGGGGGTAAAGAATCTCACTGAAACATGCCTTCCTTTATAACCCAAATCTACCCTACCTGACAATGTCCTAGTAAATCTCTTCTGAGCCCACTCCAGCTTGATTATCCTTCCTATAACTGGGTGACCAGAACTGGACACAGTACTCCAGAAGAGGCCTCACCAATGTTCTGTACAACCTCAACATGACTTCCCAACTCCTGTATTCAAAGGATTGAGCAATGGAGGCAAGTGTGCCAAACCCTGTCTATACATGATGCAAACTTCAAAGAATTATCTGCCTATACCCTTGTGTCTGTGTTCTACAATACTACCCAAGGCCCTATCATTTAGTGTACAAACCTTATCCTTGTTTGTTGTACCAAAATGCAAAAGTTGCATTTATCTAGATTGATCTCCATCTGCCATTTTTCAGTTCATTGACCTATCTGATCGAGATCCCTTTGTAATCTTAGAAAACCTCCTTCCCTGTCTAATACACCACTGATTTTGGGATTGTCTGCAAACTTACTTACCATGCCTTCTATATTTTCATCCAAATCACTTATGACAAACAAAAGAGGATCCAGAACTGATCCCTGTGGAGCACCACTGGTGACAGGCCTTCAGTCCGAAAAGCATAACTGTCTCCTGCTGTTAAGCCAATTATGTATCCAATTGGTAAGCTCACCCTGAATCCCATGTGACTTAACTTTAGTAATTAGTCTATCATACAGAACCCTGTCGAAGGATTTAAAGTCCAAATAAACAACATCTACTGCTCTGCCCACAATCCTCTTTGGTAACTTCTTCAAAAAAAACTCAAGTTTGAGACATGGTTTTCCTAGCACAAAACCATGCTAACTATCCCTTAATCAATTTTTTGCTTCTCTC